ATATATATATATATATATATATATATATATAATTTTATTTTTATTATTAATAGATAATTGTAATATTGTTAGTTGTTTAAAATTATTTTATGCCTTTCTTGTATTTTACTTAATTGAACATGATTAAAATTCTGCAGAACAATCTGTCCACAAGGCACAATTTTGTCAAGATTATTGAAGAAAAACTATGCAGAGGATGATGGTTCTGCATTTCTTCATGATAAATCACCTCCTGCTCCGCTGGTAAAATCAATGCAAAAGGTGCGTCACAATCTTTTGTTTAAGAATCTCATTGACTTTTATCCCTCTGAAAGTATAAGGATGATAAATAATTGTGATTTCTTAAGACAAAAGTTTTGTTTTTTTTGTTTGTTTTTGCATGAGCATGTGTGTTGTGAGACCAAGGGACCGGGCGAATATTAATGAGTGGGTCGTTGTAGGACAGTTTTCCAGATGGGCCTTTATCTGATCTAGGTGGCATTTGCAGAATAAATGAGAAAGGCAAGAGGAAATGCCCTTTCCGTTCAAGGGTGCATGTGGGCATAAAAAACGGTATTATCGAGCACTTAAACTCTAAGTGCGTGTAGCGAAGAAGAACCCACAGGGATAAAGGGGGTTTACCGAACTGGTCAAGACTCTCATGTTTTATTGTCTTATTTATTAAACTTCCTCCATTAAATGCTATTTGGTGCCAATATCCTCCATCTTTGATATCCATGTACAAGCATGGACAGTATCCAAAGTAGTGGTTCAACGGATCACAAATCTCACGGTTCGGATCACATTACGGTTTTTGACCCACAGATTGGATCATTTTTCAGATCAGCAAGAAAAGAAAAATATTTAAATTTAACTTGCTTTCCATTTATTACTTAAAGCGAATTACTTCTTTGATACCACAGCAAATACTACTAGATCAACTAAGAAAGTTTAAACATGATTAAAGAGACAAGAGAACAGCCAATACAAATAAGAACAAATACACAAATTACAAGCATAGATAAATACAACAGAATATGTTACAAATAAAATAAGGTTGGTAGTATTCAAATACAGAAATGTAATAATTAGGGGAAATAATTAGGGAAAATGAACACTGCATAGTGTTCACTGTATAAATTAAATATAGATTTTTATCACAGCTGTTTTGTTGTTTGATGATCATTAAAGGGGTCATATGATGCTGCTAAAAATAACATTATTTTGTGTATTTGGTGTAATGAAATGTGTTGTTCAAAAAACACATTATTTTCCACATACTGTACATTTTTGACAGAAGCAGTATTTATAGGCCGCTGTCCCTTTAAGACCTGATGCACGGATCTGATATAATGATACACATCACATCTGATTTCTTTCTCAGCTGTTTTCATTCACTTGAGACATAACTGACTGCGCTTACCTGAATGATTGTCGAGATGGGTATTTTGTCATAATTTTATGTGTATGTGTCTGTTCAGAGGATTCAGAAGAGGATTCAGTTCGGTGTTCGCACGCCATCTGAAACACATGTGCGCGCTTCATGTGTGTGCGGCTGTGCACGTAGAGAACAGCTCGTGAATAACTAATCGAGTTCCCTTCGCCTTTTCTCTCTGGAATTGTTTAAAATTCGCTTGCTTGTGTAAATATGAACAAATGATAAACTTATTATGGTTACATTTTGCAATTAATCCGCGGATCACATGCGTGCTGAACCGTGGGGCGTGGTCCGTACGGATCACGGATCAACTACGATCCGTTTAACCACTAATCCAAAGCAAAAGAAAGAAAAAAGGAATGTGTACATGTATATCACTGTTATTTTAGTATCACTGATATACTATTATAGCATTTGTTAGATTTTGTTTAATTAGATTTTATTTTTATATTTTCTGCTTTGACTTTAATTTTCATTTAATTTTAGGTTTTAGTATATTTTGTGTTCTGTCATTTTTATTAGTTTTGTTTGAAATTATATGCCTATATATATTTTATTAAGTTTTAGTTTTAGTTTATTTAATTTTAATTATTTTAGAAAATTTCTAAATGTACAATCCTGTTATTTTAGACTTTGAATATGAGAAATGCTGCCCTGGCAACTAGCTTATATATATATATATATATATATATATATATATATATATATATATA